AGACCTGGGCTTACTGTTATTCAGGCTGGCCTTGAACTCCTGTGCTTGTCAGTCTCCTGCCTCAGCCTCCTCAGTTGCTGGGACTACAGGTATATGCCATCATGTCCAGCTTGTTTTTAATTTTAATTATTTTTTAAAAATATTTCTTTTGCTATCTGCTATGTTCCGAATCTGAAATGTCCCCACAGGCTCATGTTTTGAATGCTTGTTTCTCAGCTGATGGTGCTACTTTGAGACTATGGTGCTTGTCAGTCTCCTGCCTCAGCCTCCTCAGTTGCTGGGACTACAGGTATATGCCATCATGTCCAGCTTGTTTTTAATTTTAATTATTTTTTAAAAATATTTCTTTTGCTATCTGCTATGTTCCGAATCTGAAATGTCCCCACAGGCTCATGTTTTGAATGCTTGTTTCTCAGCTGATGGTGCTACTTTGAGACTATGGAGCCTTTAGGGAGATGGGGTCTAGGTGGCAGAGGTGGGATTAGGGGTAGGCCTTTGAAGATTATACCCCCTGCCCCTTCCTCATGGGTCCTGTCCTCCACCATGTGAACAGAATCTACCATATGCTCCTGCTGCAGGGACGGACTCACTCCATGCCTTTCTTGCTATAATGGACTCAAGTACTCCGAAATGGAGTGAAAATAAATCATTCCTCCCTTAAGTTGTTTATATCAGATATTTTGGTCACAGTGATGCAAAAGTTACTGATAGTAGTTTGTCACCATCTGAACAATTACACAGTTTATGGGGCAGTAGCCTTAACTATATTCACATTATTGACTAGTGTGTATATAACTTTAATCTTGCAACCTGAAACTCTTAAACTCATTTGTGTTACTCGGACTACCATAACTCAACACCAAAGATTTTGTGTCCCAAACCACAGAAATTTATATTCTCATAGCTGTAGAGGCCTGAAGTCCAATATGAAGATTTTTTAAAAATTTATTACTATTTTTTATGTGTATGTATGTATTGCCTGCATGTAGGTAAGTGCACTTGTGTCATGCAATACCTGCGGAGGACAGAAGAGGCTGTTGGATCCCCTGGAACTGGAGTTACAGACAGTTGTTAGCTGCCATGTGGGTGCTGGGATTCAAACCCAGGTCTCCTGCAAGAACAGCTGGTGTTCTTAACCACTGAGCCATCTTGCCAGCCCCCAATATGAAGATGTTTACCGTTTGTGAGGTCTCTTGCTTGCTTTGGAGTTCCTATCTTCTCAGACTCTGATGGTCTTTGCTCTGTGCAAGCTCATATCTGAGGCTCTTCCTCTGCTTTTTATATTTATTGGAGATAAGGTCTCCTGTAGCCCCAGCTGGCCTGGAACTTGCTGTGTCAACCAGGCTGGTCTTGATCTCAGATCAAGGCCTGAGTGCTGAAACTAAAGGCGTGCGCCACCATACCCAGCTCTTTGCTGCTTTTAAGGGTCCTACATATATGATCTCAATTAGCATAATTACCTTTAATTTGATGCAATCTCATTTGTAAGTTGTTGCTATTATTTCCTGAGCTATTGGACTTCTTTTCAGAAAGTCCTTGCTTAAATTATGTTTGTATCTTGAAATGTTTTCCCCTTGCAGTCAGAACTTCAGGTCTTATATTAAGGTCTTTGATCCATTTGGAGTCAATTTTTGTACAGGGTGAGAGCCAGAGATCTAGTTTTACCCCTTATACTGAGGGCATTCCCACTAAAATCAGTCTGCACTAGGCTGGAACTGGAGTTACATGCAGTTATAAACTGGGACTTGAACTTTGGTCCTCTGGAAGAACAGCAAGTGCTCTTAACAGATGAACCATCTTTTCAGCCCCTTCTCCATCAATCGTAAAAGTTAGTATTGCTGCACGGACAATCTACGATGTTTGTATAAGTGCAGATGTGCGCATGCCAAGGCGAACATGTGGTGGCCAGCAGACAACTTCCAGGTTCTCTCTTTTTACTCTGGGATCTGGGGATTGAACTTGGATCATCAGCCTTGGTGATAAGTGCCTTTACCCCACTGGGCCATCTCCCCAGCCCCTAATTTGATGTTTTTGTTTTTGACTTTCAATACCCTTTCTTTGTTCTACACTTTTAGCTTCCTGATGATAGTGTGCTTGTGGAGGTACTTTTCTAGTCACTTGTATTTGATGTTCTAAGTGCTTCCTGTGTGTGGAAGCTCATGCTATAATTTCATTAAATAGGTGCTCTATGCTTTTGTTTATGTCTCAGCTCCGTTCTCTACCCTAAGGATTTTAAATTTTAGTCTTTTATCTGTGTCCCAAGATTTTTTAATTTTATGTGTATGAGTGTTTTGCCTGCATGTGTGTAAGTGCACCCATGTCATGCAATGCCTGCAGCGGTCAAAAGAGAGGGTATTGGATCTCCTGAAACTGTGCTTAGGGATGATTGTTAGCTGACATGTGCTGGGAACTGAATCTGGGTCCTCTGTAAGAGCAGCCAGTGCTCTTAACTTCTGAGCCATCTCTCCAGCTTTGGAGTCCCAAAATTCTTTAAAGTGGTCATCATTGCTTGTTTTTTCTTTCTTTTTAAAGTTTTTTTTTTTTTAATGTGTATGAGTGTATTGCCTACATGTATGTAAGGGCACTCATGTTGTACAATGCCAGAGAGAGCATCGGATTCCCCTGGAACTGGAGTTACAGATGATTGTCAGCCACCGTGTGGGTGCTGGGTATTGAACCCTGGGTCCTCTGCAAGAGCAGTCAGTGCTCTTAACTTTGGAGCCATCTCTCCAGCCCCTGTTTTTTCTTTACAGTATCTAAATGTAATAATCCCACAGTCTTGTCTTCAGGTCCTAATACTGTTTTTCTGCTTATAAAGTCAACTGAAGATACTTTCACTGAGTTTTTAAAATTTTGGCTTTATCTTTTCATTTCCAGGATTTAAGTTTTTATTTTTTCAAAAAAATTTGTTTACTGTGTATATATATGTGTGTGTACATGCATGTGTGCACATGCATGAGCACTTATGTGTGCCATAGCATGTGTGGAGGTCAGTTCTCTCCTTCCATCATATGTGTCCTGGGGATCAAATCTAGGTCTTCAACCTTGGCTGCAAGTGCTTTTCCCACTGAGCCAGCTCCCCAGACCCTTATGTTTGTAGTTTTTGGATGTTTTGTTTCCTTGGTGAATTTCTTTTTTTATTTTAATATATTTTTTAAAATTTATTATTTTTATTTTATGTGTATGAGTGTACTGCCTGCATGTATGTGAGTGCACTTGTGTCGTGCAATGCTGTGGAGCTCGGAAGAGGGCTTCGGATTCCCCTGGAACTGGAGTTAAGGAGGGTTGGTAGCTGCCATGTGGGTGCTGGGACTCGAACCTGGGTCCTCTGCAAGAGTAGTCAGTGCTCTTAACCACTGAGCCACCTCTCAAGCCTCTTTGGTGAATTTCTTACCCAGGGTTTGAGCTGACTTCTTTACTTCAGTCATTTGTGTAGTTATCTACTCTTTGTGGTAATTGATCATTTAAGAAAATAGACTTTGGCATTTGAATTCTTTGGCATTTCAAAGATTTCACTGTCTTTGGTTTGGTTATTGAAACACTATGGACTTTCAGAGGGGTGATATTGTTTGTATTTCCTTTGTGGCTACACTGTGGTTTGTGTGTTTGCTGGGATGACTGTCTCCTCCTCCAGCTTTCCGTGGGCTTCTGCTTAGGAGGCATTTCCTCCTCTGAGTGTTCTTTTCTTTTCCCTGCCTCTCAGAGGACAGAAAGCAGGCTGCAGTGACAACCGTCCATAAATACACGGGGTATTTAGGGGAAAAACACCCAGAATTAGAAACATTTATACCCCAATGTGGATAGAAAAGCAAGGAATTAAGGTGATTGGGACTTTTGAAGAATTAGGAAAAGTAAATATACTAATTTAGTACTAAAAAAGAAAGGAAAACCATACTGGATAAAGGTATGAGAGACAGTAGTAAAAGAAAAACAAAAAAGCAAGTATTGGGCAAACAAAACAATTCAGAGAGACAGGGAAGGAGGGAGGGGAGGGGAGGGGATATTTATTTCTAGCTGAGGAGATTGGGGATGCTTTACTGTTGTCCCAGGCTGTTTATCTGGGGTGTGTGTTGGGGAAGGGCAGGGAGGTAGTAAGTCATTTTCCTCTCTGAAGTCCAAACAGGTCAGACCAGAAAGCACTGCTTGCGTGCTGAGCCCTGCCTGACTTCCCTACCAGGCGTGTGTGCCTCTGAGTGTTGCTCAGTTGAATTCTCACCACTACGCTCCTTTCTCTCTGCGCAGGCCCAACACCACAGTAAGTGTACAAGCATGTCTTTAAGCTGCTAAGCCCATCGATAGCCCTTTTGGATGCCCCCATAGCAGAGGCACTCTACCAGTGCATGTGTGGGCATGGGAAATGTCTGCACAGGGCCTGGGTTGCCGCCAAAAGTCTCTAAGGTGCTGAGATTGTAGAAAGCAGTCAAACCAAAGCAAGATGCTTAGTAGGGAAGGAGAAGGCATTTTCCATTGAATGTGGCCTTAACCCCCTTCTTCCTATTTAATTTACACACAGCCAGCCTCATTTCTTTTCCCAGAGGTCAGGCTGAAATTTCCAATTGGAGGTGCCCTCTGTTTCCCTCTGCAATATACCCAACACCTCCCTCCATGTGGATCTGTGACCCTGGGTCTACATGCAAGTCACAACCAGTTTCCTGGGCTCACACTAATTCTCAGAGTGGTTTTTTTTTTGTTGTTTTATTTTTTGAGACAGGGTTTCCCTGTAGCCCCAGCTGTCCTGGAACTCACTATGTAGACCAGGCTGGCCTTGAATTCACAGAGATCCACCTGCCTCTGCCTCCAGAGTGCTGGGATTAAAGGCGTGTGCCACCACGCCTGGTTGTTTTTGTTTTTTTTTTTTTAAATATTTTATGTATTATTTTTATTTTATGTGTATGGGTGTATTGCCTGCATGTAGGTAAGTGCACCCATGTTGTGCAATGCCCGAGAGAACAGAACAGGCCAT